GAATAGCTCTCCCCTTACTTACATTTCTGATTCAAATCCTTCAGATTTCGACTTATATTTATTGCAATATCTTTCATTTCTAGGTATTTCAAACTAGTCAACTTGTTCATATTTTCCAACAGTTTGTAGTCTTCACTAGTGGCTTGGAGAAAGCAAGGGAAAGAGACACAGAAATGTTATTTCTTTTAAAAATGTAAATTACTTATTGTACACAATTTTAATCTCAGTTACATTTATATGAAGCTACCCAAAAATCTCATTATTCTCTCACATATACTATTTTCACATTTGTGGGACTGAGGGGCACAGAATCCCTGCAAAAGTGAGAAAACAGTTCCATCTTGTCTCCTGCCGATGTCATCAGTTGGGAGACCCCTCCCTCAGCACCAACTGCTGCTCTGAACCAGAGTGAAGAGAGAAAGGGCCAGGAGGACAGTTCCACCTTGTCTAATAATATAATATATTGTATAATTCATATAATCTTTATAATATTATAATATAATACAATATACTACTACTACTACTACTAATAATAATAATAATAATACAATATTATAATTATATCTATATTGCATGCAATATTACTAATAATATTACAATATAATGATATGGTACAATATAGTAATATATAATATTGATATTGTGCTATGCTAATAATATAATATATTGTATGTATATATATCTTGTAAGCCGCTCTGAGTCCCCTACGGGGTGAGAAGGGCGGCATATAAATAAATGCTGTAAATAAAATAAAAATAAATAAATAAATAGAAAAAGCAAATATTGTAAGCCTCTCCAAACATGCAGACTTGTCAATAACACCAGCCCGTCACTCCTTTTCCCACCTTGCCATCGGGATGCTTCAGCCAGATTCTAACCCCATGTGAACCCCACTGACCTCCTCAACCCACTCCACTTCCTCTCATTGTTCTTTCAGCAATGCCAGCCAGATTTTAAATCCCCTGGCGAGCCCATAGATTGCTTTGTTCCAATCCTCTTCCTCTCTGTCTTCCTCTCCTGTCTTTCCAAAAACAGCAAGACAAATTTTAAACCTTTCCAGCCCATCAACTTTTCTTTGAAATGTAAAATCTGGCTCCTGCAAATGTTTTAAACATGGAATTTGAACTGAATTACTTGGAATTAAGTCCCATAGGAGACAGTGAGAATTAATTCTGTGAATTAGTGTGTGTTAAACTTAATGTGAACTTACCAGTCAGTTCACCTGTCAGATAAACTGCCATTTTGTTGAACATATCCTTACAAAGCTCATTGATATCTGCCTCTGCTGGTTCTGTAGCTTCTTCTGCTGTTTCAACAGCAGGATCATCTATTAAGATTTACAAGTAT